TGGGGTGTTGTACAGAACAACGTCAAAAGAAAAAAATTAGAATAGTTTAGGCTGAAATCCAGACGGGCATCTCTGCGCCACAACGAACGGCTGGACCATGCACGGGAGCTCCCGTGCATGGGTGCATGGGAGAAAATCCATTCTCGTTGCGTGGCGGCGAAAAACGCTCACGCCCCCGCCGCGGTGACTGAAGGAACGGCGCAGGAATATCCAAACGGAGAAGCGAGCGGGAGAAGGAGGAGGAGGTCAGCCCTGTATGGAGACGCGCGCGTACTCCTCGTCCTCGCCTCCGTGATGCGCGTCATCAAGCCGTACAGCGTGACGCGAATGGAAATGAAGGAGGTCGGCAGGCCGAACAGGGCTGATCCGGATCGAGGACAAGATCCAATTTACTACGCCTGCCTCGCAGCAGCAGCAACTGGCAAAGCCTGAGCGAGTAGTAAATAGAATCGAGGCGACACAGGAGGGACGCATTGCCGCCGCATATCCCCGCTGCTCCTTCCTCCCTTCATTCCCTATTTTTACCGCCGCCGCCTACGTTGCCGGCCTACCTCGCCCCCGCCCGTCACCTCCTCCTCCTCCTCCGCCGCCACCGCTCCTCTTCCTTCCAAGGTACGTCCGCGCTCCAACCTCCTCCTCCTCCTCCAACCTCTCTCTTCCCTCACCCTTGACAGAGGAAGGGACCTTGAAAGAGAGATCGATCGTCTTCTTCCCGCATTTGCATGGCATGCCGGAGAAATTGGATATTTTGGCCCCAAATCCCCTTGGCATGCCGTCACACAGATGCTTCCTTCTCATCCCTTTCCCTCCTCGCTTTAGCTTTAGGCCTCCTTTGGTTCATAGGATAGGAATGTTATAGGAAATAGGAAGATCATAGGAAGTGAGATGACATGTATCTTAATTTCTATAGAGAAAAAGATGTCATTTGATGCATAAGATAGAAATTTTTTCATTGAGTCTTAGCTAATATTTTGTTCCCTTTAAAATGTGAAGGATTGGTTCCTATCCTACATACGAATAGGAATCCATTCCTACAAACCAAAGGACTTCAAAGGAAAATGTCCTATGCAAATTCTATTCTATAGTAATCTTATGAGATTCCTATAAACCAAAGGAGGCGTTAGCTTTTGATTAGAGGTGATTAGAGGATCCGCCTCTACACGGATATCCTTATTTATCTATCTATCTGTTTTATTCTTTATTATACCATAAGATAAGAGGGTCTGTCTTGTTGGCAAGAGCTTTAGCTTAGATCCCCGATGTTGACCTTCTTCCCCACCTTCTCATCATCATATAGTACTAACAATCCGATGTAGTATCATGCTCCGAACGGGGCTACGCTTCGCTGCTCGTCCCCCTCCGACGCCTGTTCCTCTTCTAACCTTGTCTGCCAGCTGGGGCATGCATGCATGCCGTCTCTCTTCTCCCTTACCCTGTGTTTGATCCTTGGCATTTCCGCCGCCGCACAGGCATATGTATATAGATGCTTCGGACGATTTATGCTTCCTTGTCGATCGTCTCTTTCTCTCTTCGCTTTGGCTTTCCATGCATGCACCGTCGATGATTCACACTGCATGTGATCCACAGACCACTTGAACCAGCGTTACCTGTTTAAGATTTCCATCTTCTTGCACACATAGTATATAACCGCTGTTTTGCTCTGTGTGGCCGGCTACTCTGCCCCCTTTGATCAATGAACAGCATTTTTTGTCGAAGAAAAAAAAACATCTATCTGTTTATTACTGTATTTGTTTAATAAAGGGATCTAGCTAGCTTGTTGGCAATCGCACGGTGGTACTGCTACGTACTAGCATATCTGCGCATGGACGGGCTAGCAGGTGCAGTGTACCGGGGAGAATTATTAAGGCCTTGTATAATGGGAGATGCTTAGAGAAATAAATCAGGTTTTTCTTAAGCATCGGTGCTTATTTGTACAGGATAGACGTTTAACTAAGCGTCTCTCCTGTAAAAATAGGCCCCAGTGCTTCAGAAAAATTCGGTTTATTTTTCTAAGCATCTCTCTAAGCACCTTTCATTGTACAAGGCCTAAGGAAGCTTCTGGCTGCGGTTTAGGCTGGTTGCTTTGGCCCGTTGGAACAGACAAGTCTGTTGGTTGCCCCCGCCCCGTCCATCAACCAATCGACAGAGGGAGGGGGTACGTTCATGGAGGGGTGACTTAACGGAACGAACACGCCGCACGCTGGCTGGAACATCCAGACGGAGGAACGATGAGGCGCAGGTGGGCGGCGAATGGACGACGGAGACGTCTCCCGGCCTCGTGAGCCGTACAGCGCGACGCGACGCGAACGGAGCGGAGGTCGGCCGAAAGGAAGGAAGGGAGGGAGAAAGCGATGGACAGCAAGCAAGCAAGCAGGCCGCCCCGGGCATGCAGACGGACGGACTCGATCGCGTCCTAGTAGATAAATAGAGGCCGTATAGCGCATACTATGCCCCTCCCGCCCTCCCGCTACTTCTAGCTTTTGCCGCCGCCTCATCCCTCGGTCTCGCCCCCGCCTGCCCGCCGTCTCCACCGTCGCCGTCCCCTGCACCTACCGCAGCCTCAGGTACGCCTGCGCTCCGGCCTCTTCCTCCCTCCAACCTTGCTAGTCCTACTATTACCAAATGGCCTCTGCATCTGCATGGCATGCCGCCGGCGCCAGACATCGCCGCGACCTCTACCTGTCGTCGGCGTTCCTATCTATCTGTCTGCCTCCGCCGCGCCGCGCAGATGGATGCTTCCGACTCCGAATATGCGCTTTCTGCTGCCCGGCGTTATGCATGCCTTTCTTCTCGTCCCTTTCTCTCCTCGATTTGCCTCCTTTGGTATCTAGTACATCTGTTTATATTATTCATTACAAGGGGATCATAATCTTGTTGGCCAGCGCTAGATCCCCTCTCCATGTACGTACTTTTTAAGGGCCGATGTTGACGTTCTTCGCCGCCTTCTCGCTCGTCGTATACTCACAACCGCCGACGGTACTCCTATATAATACTCCGCCGCCTCTCGCCGCCGGACTGGCCCCCTCCGCCGAGAGAGAAAGGGAAAGGAAAAAAAGACAGAGCAACCTGGGCAGGTTGGAGGTTGGATGCAGAGTACTAGACTGCTGTAAAACCAGAGCAGTTCAATCAGAGAAACCTTTAATTTGTTTCCGGATACCGCGGTGTCAAAGAGAAAAACTCTAGGAATGCTTTGCGTCCCGGCTGGGCTGTTGTTTCTCTCTTTCGGAGAAGGTTCTTTCATGTGATCATGCTCTTATAATAAGTTTAATAATCCCACAGAAATGGATATTCGATCTTGGGAATGCTCCCGATGATAGTGCCTCACGTTCACCAGCCTCGGCCTGCGAGCGTTTACTCTACCCGCGATCGTCGTCGATGACCCAACGTGACCAGCCAAATAAGCAGTTGTACTAGTAGTGTTACGCAAACAAATCCTAGCTAGTACCGGAAAAGCAGTTGCGTGGCGACGGAAAACGCTCAAGCCCCACGTATACGGTGGCTGAACGGAGACGCCCGCACACTGGAATATCCAAACGGAGAAACCAGGAGGCGACGGCAAACCGACGATGGAGACGTCCTCGCCTTGGATCCGGCTTTGTGACGTGAAGCATCAAGCCTCACGGTCGGTCTAGGTCGGCAGCAGGAGAGAAAGCGATCAAGGTCCAGGTCGGTCTAGTCTAGGGAAGAAGAACAAGTTGGAACCGGCAAGCCAAGCCAGCCCGGCCAGGCAGGCAGGCGAGCACAAGATCCAATTTCCACCTGTCGCCGCGTTCTCTACCAAGCGCATACGATACGAGCGAGACGATAAGTACGGGACACAGACACGGGACGCCATGCCGCATACATACTCCTCCCTCCACAGGCGGGCATTTATGTGATTACATATAAAGCTAGGGGGTTTTCTGCAAAAAAAACTGCCACATAGGCACCCGACAGGCGGGCCCCCTCGGTCAGATACACTGTTAGTACGTATTTATACGCGATTTAGATCTTTTTTAAAAAATTGGACCAATGTTGGTACTGACATGTAAAAATTAGCAATCGTGGTACCAATCTACATGTGATACCTGAATTGTGGTACTTCTGTGCAATTAACTCCATAATATGGGACGGACGGAGGGAGTATTATTAACAACAAGGGAGATCTTGTTCTTGTTGGCGAGCGCTAGATCCCTACACTTTCTGGGGTCCGGCGTTGACGCCCTTCCTCGCCCACCCACCTCTTCGTCCTACACCACTAATCCGACGGAATATACTTCAGTAATCAAATACTCCGCCGCCGGAATGGTCCCGTCCGTCCCTCACTCACCAAAGGGAGACAAGAAAAACAGAGCAACCGCAACAGGTTTCTGCCTTTCAGGGGCGTGCTTGGATGCAGATGCAGAGTACTAGTACGTACTAGCGTGAAAACAGAGTTCTAGTCCCACTGTTCGTTCGTTTTATGACACTTGAGATGATACTAGGTCAGCCTTTAATTTTCTTCAACAATAAGCTCCATGAATACTCTGTATCCGAACAGAACAGGGCTATTTTCCCCCCTTGAGAGGAGGTTAATGTTTTGGTACTACTATTAGTTTAGTCCCACAGTAACTTGCTCTAATCACAAGTTTGGTCTTTGGCAAATCACCGCCTTTTTTCCCCTCTTCTCTGGATCCAGTTCGAACTACATCCTCTAGTTGATACTAGCATACTGCTACCATTCGGCACATTACCAAGGGACCGAGGACCATCATTCATCAACACCTGTTGTTACCATGACATTCTGTGGCGGCCCAAAATCGGCACCCATACGTACCATTTCCACCCTCTGAATGTTCCATTTTGTTGCCTAAATCAACATGTGTCTTTCGGCAAACAATACTTTACATGTGGGAAAGTTGCGAGTTTGTCCAACTACATCCGGCAGCAATGCAACTGTCTCTTTCAAGTCTTGTTATCTGCCTAACTCCTCAATGGATAATAATATGATGCTAACTGTGATTGATTCCTGTTGGGCAGAAATGGAGGCCAGTTCTAGCACTGCTCTCTATCCTCAGCGCCGCTGCAAAAACATCTACCTGGTACTACCGCCCCTCAGTTTTCGGCAATGAACCTGTACCAAAGACGCAAAGAGGATGTTCCGTCTGATTAACCGTAACTAACGTGCGCAGGTGAGGCATGCTCAGGGTATACATAATGTGGAAGGCGACAAGGATCACAGCGCCTACAAGTCGCCTGCGCTGGTCGATGCTCACATCACCCCTTTGGGCTGGAGCCAAGTAAGATCACCTTGAGAATGACTGTAGTTGATTCTTTTATGGTTGTGGGCCAATTTTTTGGCTTTTTCGTTCGGAGCCTTTTGCCCGCAGTTTTGTAGTTAGTCGAGTTCCTTTCTGCTCCTCACACATAATAATGTTGTTATCGCTCAAGTTTTTGTCATGTGGCATTTTCAAGTTCCATGGGTGCTGATTAACATGCGTTTGTAGGTTGATTGCCTGCGAGAGCATGTGACAAAATGCGGACTAGCAAAAAAGATTGAGTTGGTTGTTGTTTCCCCTCTAATGAGGTATAGTTTTCCTTCACCTTCTCATCCTCTTGTACATAATTTCAGTGTTCTGGATCTTCTTCTAATCTTTTTATGTCCACTTGAATCAACCTCACAGGACTCTGCAGACTGCAGTGGGGGTCTTTGGCGGTGGAAACTGTACCGATGGAGAAAGTGCATCACCGTTACTAATGGTAAAAGGTGCTGGACACAGTGGGCGTCAAGCGATTTCAAGTTTGGACTGCCCGCCGTTTCTCGCAGTCGAGGCCTGCAGGGAGCGCTTGGTAATTCCCTCTCCTGAAGAACACAAATAAAACATTAGCAATTGTTTTATTACCAAATACTCTTCATTTAGTGCCTCGTTTTAATTTCATTTTAAAATGCAGGGTGTGCATCCCTGTGACAAGAGGAGCAGCGTAACAAAATATCGCACTCTCTTTCCTGCCATTGATTTTTCCCTGGCAAGTACCTATTGTTGCTAGTTCACTGAATTCAGTTTCAGAGACACTGTCTCGATGGTGATTTAATAGATGTGTACTCGTGCTCTTTACAGATAGAGAATGATGAAGATGTTCTTTGGGAACCCAATGTCAGAGAAGCAATTGACGTTGTTGCTGCCAGGGGCATGAAGTTCCTTGACTGGTAATTTTCCTTTGTAAGATTGATTAGTTTCTTTCCACTAATGTCTTGGGAAATACATGCCTGATGAGTTGTTGTGTGAACATGAAACACAAGTAACTGAATAATATTCATCTGCACGTCCTCTTATCACTCTCGGTTGTTTTTTTTGTGTCATTCCAAACAATTTGTTCACCCAAACAAGTGATTTATTCACCACTCTACCGGCCTAACAAGAGCCCCATGTTCCTAACAAATTATGTTTTTTGTCTCTACACTTTCATGTATGGACATATATCTTACTATATCTGTGTAACACTTGCTGCATGTTTTAGATAAAAACTAGAACTGGTGATGAAGGATTGACTCTTTAGAGATAGAAGAAAGAAGTCACAAGCAAGGGTCATGCTATTTCTATTCTTTTCACCATTGTTATTCCCTATTTCCTTAACTGATCTTGAATTGTACCGTAACAGCAGAAACATGGTCTCATAAATTGATTTCTTTCATGACTGTTTTGTGCACTGCCTTGGATAATACCCTCTTCCACTACATAATGCTTCCTCTGATTGCTTGTTTATTGTATACCAGTGAGTTATCACCGAGTAACTATTTGGCATTAGAAAATCCTAGATGCTGGAGATTTATGTGTAGCATGTATTGAGAAAGACAAACCTCAGATTTTAGATGACATGTTGAGTCAACCAGTAACTTCATTTTGGCGGCTGGATTAAATTAAAACTAGTCTCTTGATCTGCTTGCAGGTTATGGACAAGAGAAGAAAATGAGATAGCTATTGTCACCCATAGCAGTTTCTTAGATTTCACTTTAAACATGTACAGTAAAGAGTGTCATCCAACCATAGGAGAGGATATGCGCAAACGGTAAGTATTTTTTTTCATGGTAATTGTCAACCAATCAACCCACAATATTCTGCAAGGGCCGTAAAATATTGAGACCACTGCTAATTCTATCATCACAAGCGCATGTTCCTAACTTTGGTTTGGTTATATGCAGCTTTGCGAACTGCGAGCTCAGGTCGATGGTGCTGGTCGACAGAAGGTCAGTTCTTGTTTTGCTTCAATGATTATGATGCATTTGTGATGGCCTTTCTGTAATGTGGATTCGCTTTGCAACGCTGCAGTAAGCTTGGATCAGATACCCCTACATGCGATTTCCCTGGGAAGATACCGGCGGGACTTGATCTGCCTAGTGATGTGGCAGACAAGAAGCAGATTGAAGAAGCTAGCAATGGGAACCGGGGAGCGGTTGGTTGTCTAGAGCACACGCACATGAGCTCGCCCACTGGCCTCATTTCTACCTAACAACGTAGAGTCAAGGGAGGGAACTTCCCCCTTTAATCACATCTCTCTTGAAGAATCTAGAAAGAACTGAGACTCTTGACCTTACAACGGTCAAGTTTCAGTTGCATGATTGATGTTGAAGCAAAAAAGAAAAAGAAAAAAAGATGTTGAAGCGAAGATAAGCGGCACCTACGGATAGGATTTATCATCTGTCACTCTGAAGCATGATTAGAACAGTTCATTATTTGGTTTGTTGTCTGAACACATACCCAAAATCATGGGAATAAGGATGATTTATGCATGTACCCCTGTTGTTGATCTAGGACATTATGTCAGATCAGTTCCGGCTGTTGTTCCTTTTTCACATTTTTTTTCCTGCAGCTTAGAGCCTCTTTGGATTGAAGGAATTTATAGGAATTTTTGAGATTCGAATGCATAGGAATTTTTTTCCCATGGAAGCCATTTGGATCATAGGATTGGGAGCCACCAAATTCTACATCCATATGCCCTTTGATTCGATGATGCCATTTACTACCTCCATCCCAAAATACAAGACGTTTTTGCGGTTTAAAGATGTCTTAAATTTTTGGGACGGAGGTAGTATCTCTTAACGACGGAGCTATATTTTCCCATGGTGCCAAATATTATGTGATTGGTCCGTTTGAAATTGGAGCAGGCAGATTGGTTGACTCTGATTTGATTCTCTCGTGTGGCTGTGGGCAGGAGGCAAGGCACGGGAATGCCTTGATGTGGACGGGTATCCACTGAAAAAATATGGAAAGAATCTATTCCCTTTGTTTCAAATTACTCGTCGCAAAAATGGATGTATCTATAACTAAAATACATCTAGATACATTTATACCCGCGATAAGTAATTCGGAACGGAGGGAGTAGTAATGTGGTGCGAGGGAGGAGGGATATGGAGCACGGAATATGGATGGATATTCGGCAAGGATGCCGTTCCAGGCCAGGCCAGTCGTCCTCACTCTCGTCGTCAGAAGCCTCGGCCTGCCAGCGTTTGCTACGCTGCCCAACCCATCGTAACCATTTTGCACGTCCCCGTAAAAATCAACTTTAACGGACGATGTAGAAGGGACGCGGAGTATTAGTCCCGAGCTTATATGCTCCGTAATGAACAGTAAAATTGAAAAAAAATAGTAAAGCAATTCAAAAAAATATTTCGAAATGTTTTTGGTGCGAACTTGGACAAATGTTCTCGGTGTTTGCAAATTTTCATCCTGAAATAACATTTTTCGAAGTCGTGATAAAAAAACAAAATCGACACTCCAAAAATGCTATTTTTAAACCATTTTGGAGTTCTGTTTTTTTTGCCATGACTTGCATGAATGTTATTTCGGAATGAAAATTTGCAAGCACCGAGTACATTTGTCAAAGTTTACATCCAAAAAAATCAGATTTTTTTGTAGTTTATTTTTCAATTCTTTTTTTGAATTTACTGTTCATCCCAATTTGAGCTCGCGAGTAAAATGGGACTTTCGGTACTTGTATCTCTATTTGACGAAAAAATAACGCAGCAGCTCCAAATGATATATATTGGCGGCACCACCAACGGCTGCCCTAAAAGAAAAGTCAATTGTGGCGGGAACTCAACCGCGTCCACGCCGGTAGATTCTGGCCGCCGCCACTCCACCGGCCACCGTGAACCCCGGTGCCCCATACGGCCCCTTTGCAACCTCCACCGCAGCCTTCCCGACTCCTCTGAGCTCGCGGCGTGGCCACACCGTCCCGCCGAAGCTCGACCACTACCCTCAACGCCGCCCGTCCCGGTCAAGCTCGCGTCACCGTCCATGAGCACTGCGCCGCCGCCCTTGAACTTCCCCGCCACCTGATTCCGCTGTCACCGTCGCCACCCCCCAGCCCGTTCAACTTGCATCACTATCCCCGAGCACCTCGTGGTGTTCCCGAACTTCCCCGCCGCCGTCACCATCTCCGTCCCGCCGAGCTCCTCCCTGTCATTTTTTTGTGTGGTTTTTTAAATTTTAAAGCAAAGAAGTCAGACCAGTTTTTGAAAATCTTCTCTCTTGCCATATACTCCCTCTGTTCCCAAATATAAGTCTTTTTTAGAGATTTCAACAAGTGACTATATACGGAACAAAACGAGTGAATATACACTCAAAAATAAGTCTACATACATCCGTATGTTGTAGTCCATTTGACATGTCTAAAAGACTTATATTTAGAAACGGAGGGAGTACTAATTATTTTGTGGTAACTGAAGGAAGGAAGGAAACAAGCGGCAGTGGAAGGGGGTTGGACCGTGGAGGTCGGCAGAAAGAGAGGGAGAAAGCGATGGAAGCGGTGGAGGAGGAGAGGAAAAGAAAGAGCTCTTGGAACCGCAAGCCAACCTGGTGTTGCCCTCGACGCGACCCGTCGAGGACAAGATGCGATTTGCAGCTGACTCATTAGCGAATTGAATTGAATAAATTAAAAGCGAGCTGACACGAGACGCGAATGATGCTGCCGAATACTTTTAGTACCACCATCATCACCACCGCCCCCGCCCCCGCCCCGGCCCTCCCTATCTCGCCCCCGGCCGCAGCTGCCTCATCGTCGCCCCCCTCCTTCGCCGTCGGCCGTCGCCCCCGCTCTTCCTTCAGCGGCTGCCGCTGCTCCTCATCCTCCTCCTCCTCAGGTACGGCCGCGCTCCAACCTCCCCCCTTCTTCTTCTTCATCCCCCGTTAATTAATCGAATCGAATGGCGCGCTCTCTCCTCCGTCCCTTCACCGGAAAGTAAAATCGACTGTCGTCTTCCTCTTGGATGGATTAATCGCGGAGGCCGGTCGGTTCCCGCCACGCCGCGCTGGACTCGGAGGAATCTCAGCACCTCCGTCCAGCCACCCCATCCCGCCCCTCTTCTTCCCAGCACCTGCCCCGTCTCCTCCACCGTTCAGCCGCAGCGCCAGATCTCGCCGCGGCACAGATGCTTCCGAATATGCCGCTTTATGCTCCTCCCCCTCAGGACTTTTCATACACGAGCATTTATCTATCTATTTCTTATTTAAGCAGATTTTGTTGGCAAGCGTTAGTCAGATCTCCTCTCCTTACGTGCCGATGCTTTACACTAGTTGCCCACGCCCTTCACCGCCTCCTCATCGTATACTAATCCCATATGCAATATAGATTAAAACATCTTCAGCATTGCACCGCCGAAGATGATCTCCTTCGTCACATAACAAGAAGAAAACAAAACAGAGTAGTTGGAGCAGCTTCATGTTTTTTTTTCTTTTCCAATAGGAGGCTTGTGCTTGCAAGTTTATTAGTTTGACCCCACATAAAAATGCTCCTCCGATATGCTTTACGTCGATAGGAATCACCGCGTTTAGCTCATATAGACACTGCCAGTACGGCGCACATGCTCACTGACCAATGGATGGGGAATCAACGCCTTTAACTACCATGTGATGTGATTCTTTGGGCACGCACCAGTGCATCAACATTCCTACCATGTGAAAATGTTCCGTTTCCACGAATCAACATACGTGCCATTCTGTAAAGCATGAGGTACTGCCGGGACGTTGCGATTTTAGCTAACTCCATGTGGTGCTGCAACTGTCTGTTCAGGTTGACTTTATCTGTCTAACTCGCCATGGATAGAAATAACACACAGTGGTAATTTGTTTCTTTTGGGCAGATATGGAGGCCAGCGCTGGCACGGCTCTGTACCCCGCGCACCGATGCAAAACCATATACCTGGTACCACACTTCATCAATTAATCGGCGACAAACCTGTAAGACAAGCGCGAAAAATAAATTGTTCAATCTGATTCGCTGTAACCAATGCGTGCAGGTGAGGCATGCCCAGGGTGTTCACAATGTGGAAGGCGAGAAGGATTTTGCAGCGTACAAGTCACATGCGCTGCTTGATGCTCAACTTACCCCTTTGGGCTGGAGCCAAGTAAGATTGCTCGTTTCCTTTTCGTTATCCCCATGCATTTCAATTTCAAACACTGCTCTTAGCATTATCAGTTCTATGGCCAACTAAGGTGATGCTTTTTGTCAAAAATTTAAGGCGAAAATGTGTCTGTGATGTTGACACGAGCATTAGAAATGGAAGCACTAATGCTCTCTCTCTAAGCACGTTAGAAATGCCCTTTTTCCATTCATTTTGCCTTTGTCTTTCACTGCAACAGGATTACATGGTAGCCTGTATCCCACTATCATGTGTTGTGCTCAGGGTATCAACCTATCCATGGTACAATATTATCAGGCATTAAGATTGTTTATATAAAATGTGTATATATGACATCAGTCATGATGCTTTAGTGATGGAAGTTTAATTCTATAATTCAAGTGTTCGATACTCAATTCATTCACCTCACATACTGACAAATCCTCATTGATGATCTTCAGCCTCTATTTGGATGATGACATCTTCTGTCAAATGCATTTGTGGCAGTTAGCAGTATTATGGCAATGTTCAATACTTTTGTCTATGGTTATTCTGTCAAGCTTTCATAGCTGAAATCCTGGAGAATACCTTTTCCTTACAAATGAAATCTTCACAACTTAGCAGCCATGTTATATCCAAAACCTTTGGTTGTTAGTAGTTCACATGGTTACTGTCACCTTAAAAAAATGAAGTCCCCTGTGTTACCATCATCGTCTGACTAAAGATATCAACCCCAACCGTAGTTGTATCAAAAAGCACAATGACACCACCTTGTTTAGATGACATTCAGATGCCTTTAGTTGATTCCTTTATGGTTGCAATCCAAAATTATTCAAAGTCTTTTGACTGCAGTTGTGTGATTAGTTGACTTTCTTTCTGGCCTTGACACATAATGTTGATTAAAATATCACTCAACTTATTTTTCATGTTGCATCTTCAAGTTCCATGGATGTTGATTTAAACGCATTTGTAGGTTGATACCCTGCGAGAGCATGTGACAAAATCTGGGCTGGCAAAAAAGATTGAGTTGGTTATTGTTTCCCCTCTACTGAGGTATAGTTTTCCTTGACCTTGATCTTTTTGTATGTAATTTCAGTCCTCTGGATCTTCT